CCGCCACTTCGGGGAGCCAGACGGCGAGGACGGCGGTGGGGTCTGGGGGCCCGAGGGATGCCAACAGGAGTGAGGGCGGAGGTGGGCCATGCTGGGCTCGGAGGGGACAGCTGCTGCCACCTCGTCCCTGCTGGGCTGGGCAGGCGCATCTGGTGGGCACACTGTAGGCTGAGTGGGCGGGGGCTGCAGGCATCCACGGTGCAGACAGCCCGGGGGGGCACTGTCGAGGCAAGGGCCCAGGATGCCAGGGGAGACAGGGTGCTCCGGGCACACTGGGAGCTAGAGCAGAGCAAGATCCTGGAGGGCGTGGGATGAGGGGTGCAAGGGCCAGGACCCCCAGCTGCGGTTACACCATGAGCCACGGCTGGGCAGTAGAGTGGCTGCTCTGAGTCACACCTGGGGGGTGCTGCCACCTGTCTTAGAGCTGTGGTGGCATCTGCCTGGGCACTGTATTTATGGCCAGACGCAGCCGGCGTGTAGTAAACAGTCAGTCCGTGGACGGCGGCGGATGCTGCCCTCATGTTCCTCCAGCGTGTCCCGAGGCGGGGGCCAGGGCCAGCACAGCGCGTGCCCAGGCGCAGGCGTGGCGTGACTGGGCTCAGGGCAGGAGTGAGGCAGTCAGGACACGGAGAGTGACTTACGTTGGGATCCCGGGACCAGGGCTTAGTCTGTGACTACAGTCAGGGATGGTTCCGTGGGCATTCAGGAGCCACGGGTGGTATCACAGCATGACAGGATAGAGACCCCAAGCCAGGTGGGCTCAGTCTTCAGGGGATGTAGTATGAAGAGGATTCGGGAGAAGAGCAGGGTGGGAAGGTCGAGTGCTGCAGACAGTGAGGAGCCCTCAGTGGTGGGGCAGCTACTACCCCAGCGAGGGTCAAGAGGAGATGGTGCGGAGTCGAGGGGCTGGCTCAGTTCGAATGTCCCGGGAGGGCCTCTGGGGGGCGGTGACGCGTGTACCGAGAGAAGAGCCAGCATGTGAAGGTCAAGGGAAGTGCAGAGCCTGGCGTGTGCAAAGGCCCTGGGGCGCCTCTGAGCTTGGCAAGGAGCTTATCCCGCAGGAGGCCAGCCTGGTTCTGCCCTCTCTCTATGAGTTGTCAGCCCCTCGCCCTTGATCTGGCCAGTCCAGTCCTCCTAATGAGACCTAGAGTCCTCTGAGACTCCTGCTCGCCAGGTGTCACCTCCCCCCTCCCTGTCACGCAGATCCTGTAGGGCTCAGGCCGCTCAGTGGGGATGAGGGAGTGGGCAGCAGGTGGCTCCAGTTAGTGGCTGTCAGGCCTAGTGAGGGCAGATGGCTGCAGAGGTGGGGCTGTAGCCACGGAGCAGGCGTGAGCCACTTACTCAGCGGCCCGTGACCTGTGTGGACAGTTGCCTTTGGGCTAGCACGGTGGCTTGAAACTACTTGCTGGGTCACTCTGCCCCTGCTCGTGCCTGTCCCACCGGCCTCCCCCAGCCATTGCCTCAGCTTCCCCACAGGTGAAGCTAGCGGGTACTGGTCCCTGACCCCACAGGCGAGCGCCAGGTGCTGACGAGGGGCAGTGCGGTGCCAAGCACAGCCTCCGAGAGCAGCAGCACTACCTGGAGTCTGCCCTCGCAGAGCAGAGGTGGGAAGCTGAGGTGGGCAAGGCCTTGGGGAATCAGCGTGGCCTCCCTGGCTTTCTGCACAAAGAGGAATCCAGCCTCTTGGGAGGCCCGGAGAGGCACAGCTGGAGCGGAGGTGCTGGACATACGCACACCAGGGCCTGGGAGGCGGTGCCGCGGTGCCTGTACCTGTGCCAGACGTGGGCGTGCCTGTACGAGCAGGTCTGTGTGCATCAGGTGTGTGGCCTGCCTCTCCTCAAGGCTGGAGGCCCACAGGGTGACCTGGAGGAGAGGAGGCTGCAGGGGAGAGTACAGAGGATCAAGCCCAGCAGGGTGGGCGGCGGTGGGGCCTTCACACACGGGCTCCCCGTCCCCACAGAGCTCAGCGCAGGACACTGCAGCCCGAGCTGGGCAGCACAGGCCTGAGGCCCTGCAGGCAGGTGGTCGGCCGCTGGGTCTTGTGGGCTAGGAGCCCAGCCGAGGGGCAAGGCGGGGCAGGTGGGAGGATGGGCCAAGCCGGAGTGCACAGGGGCCTGGCTCTGAGTGCAGGCACCCTCACCCTCTCCCACATGTCCCTGAGCTGGGCCCCCGGCCACCAAGGTAGCTGCGTCTGTGTCCTGCCTTCCCAGACCAACTGCTGTGACTGGCCCTGACCCTGGTGGGCTGGAAGACGTGGGGGCCACTCGGCTGTGGGAACAGTCACCCTAGCGTGGGGCCTGAGCTCAGGGGCCTGGGGCAGGGAGGGCTGCCTGGAGGAGGCCACAGGACTAGTCTGTACTGGTGGAGAGCATAGTACAGCTGAGGTTCACACTACCCTGGGGCGTGGCTGAGAGCAGGAGAGGAGCCAGGCCAGGCAAGGAGGGCAAGGCAGGGGGAGCAGGGCGAGGGTGGAGCGGGGCCAGGGATGGGAGCGGGTTGGGGGGAGCAGGGCCAGGGGGAGCAGGGCTGGGGGAGCAGGGCCAGGGGGAGCAGGGCCAGGGGAGCAGGGTAGGGGGCCCAGGCGACCTTGGGCACCTGATGGTGGCAGGCCTGGTCGG